CAATCAACCATCGCTACATTGATGGTACAGCTGCTGCTGCTGCTGTACCACCATCAGCTGCTGCTGCTGCTGCTGCACTGTCAGCTGCTGCTGCTGCTGTAGCACCATCAGCTGCTGCTGCTGTTGTACCACCGTCAGCTGCTGCTGCTGCTGTAGTACCGTCTGCTGCTGCTGTAGCATCGTCTGCTGCTGTTGTAGCACTGTCAGCTGCTGCTGCTGCTGTACCACCGTCAGCTGCTGCTGTAGTACCGTCTGCTGCTGCTGTAGCATCGTCTGCTGCTGCTGTAGCACTGTCAACTGCTGCTGCTGCTGCTGTACCACCGTCAGCTGCTGCTGTAATACTGTCTGCTGCTGCTGTAGCATCGTCTGCTGCTGCTGTAGCACTGTCAGCTGCTGCTGCTGCTGTACGCACCGTCAGCTGCTGCTGTAGTACCGTCTGCTGCTGCTGTAGCATCGTCTGCTGCTGCTGTAGCACTGTCAGCTGCTGCTGCTGCTGCTGCTGCTGCTGCTGTAGCACCGTTGTTGGTGTGGCTTATTGAGAATACCAAGAAACAATTAATCCCAGAGGATTTTCCACCCAGGATAACCCAAAAAAGTCAATGTCATCGAAGACTGTCTAACTTATTTCCATTGGGGTCCTTAATCTTGTCTCCCAGGATGCAACCCACACCATTCGACTAACACCCAGGTGAACAGGGAAAAATGCCTGGAACTAGTGCTCATATTGGTGAATTTAAAGCCAGCAAAGGTTGGTTTGAGAGATTTAAGAATCGTAGTGGCATACACAGTGTGATAAGGCCTGTTCTGGAAGAAAATGCCAAACAGGACCTACAGTACTCAGGAGGAAAAGGCACTCCCAGGACACAGTGTCTCATCAGTCATTGCTGCATCTTCAATAAAGGTAAGTGTCATTTATTCTTCATTTAGTAGAGTAGTACATGCACAATGTATATTGTGCATGTACTACTCTACTATTGTGCATGTATCCTTCTCTTTGTGTGTAGGAAAATGTATATTTCATGTGGTAAAATTTTTTTTTTCATACTTTTGGGTGTCTTGCACGGATTAATTTGATTTCCATTATTTCTTATGGGGAAAATTCATTCGCATACCGATCATTTCGCATAACAATGAGCCCTCTTGCACGGATTAAAGTCGCTATGCGGGGGTCCACTGTAACAAGAGAATGTCTCTTCTGATTAAAAATAAGTCAGTGTTTGACTTTAGTTATCCAAGGCTAAATCAACTTAATGTTCTTTTATGTTCTTATAACATATGTGCCCTCAAGACCATTCCTGAACATTTTTATTTTATGTACATTAACATAAAACTTTCTTATTTTCTTTCTTAAAAGCTGGTCAATCAATCTTATTTAGGGAAAAGTCTTGATTGATTATATCCTATGTAGATTACAATCCACTTTTGAGGAAGAAATTTATATACTGTTTTTCAGTATGTAATTTCAGAGTACTACATCTCATTAGCTTCATGCCTTCCATATTTATAACACAATAATGCAACTTCTGAGTGGTTCCAAGTTTAGTTGATTCTGTATTTTAGGATATTAGTCTCTTTGAAAGGCTTAAATCAGATTTGGATGGCATGACTTATGAATGGCTCTTCTGATTTCTTTCACATCTTCATCACTTATATTTAAATGCATTATCAGCTAATGCTGCACTCTGTACTATTCCAATCGTATGCACTGAAGCACAAAGGACTGGGATTATGGAATACAGGGATACCTTCCCTGGACTGTGCTAGCAACTAATTTTGCTAAGGTATGTACAGTTTTTTTTTATGTATTTATTTCTTTTAACACACTAGGCATGTAGCACCAAGGTAGGGTGACACAAAAAGGAAACACATTCACCATCATTCATGCAATAACTGTTATGCAAGAAGTGCACAATCATCATAATTCAAAGACTCTCCAAACTCGAACATCCTCGTCCCCTCCTTTACAGAGTACTTTCTGCCTCTAGGACTCAAGTTTTCACAAAGCTTTTATATAGGAGAAAAGTACAGAAAAGTGAGGTGTAGCAGGTGACCAGTCCATTATTAATGACCAATCAGTTGCAGGTGACTGGTGCATTGCAGGTAACTGATCCATTGTCTCATGTCATTAATGTCACTGTCACTCAAAGAAACAGAAAGAAGGAAAGTTTATCACTAAGATGACAATATAGACAAAATATATTTAGAATCAGCTTAATCAGTGCATCCAACACCATTACTGGAAAAAAATAGTTTCCAAATTACAAAAACCACTGGCACACCTCTTCAAAAACACCTAGACAGACAGGATGGTGCACAATAGAACTGAATCAGTGATATGACATGATGGGTCATGTCATCACCCAAAAGGGATCAGTTACCTGTTATACCTTGCTTTCCTCTACTTGCTCCAGTATATAAATTCTGTACTAGACGTGTTCTCTACTGACTAGAAAAAGCTTGCAAATCAAGCAAAACATTGTCATATATAAAAGTTCCGTACTGCATTAAAGTGTCTCATTTTATTCCATCATGTCAGTATTCACATACCATTCCACCTACACAATGAAGTTACAGTGTTATCATGTGGAAACCAGTGGGTTGCAGTACTACTGAAGATATTAGACAGCTACTCACCCATAAAAGTATTTTGTCACTCACTGCTGGTTCACTCATAAGTGCACACTATTTTGCAACCCATACTCAGTATCACAAAAATTAAAATCATCAATTGACCATATTAATATGTATAATTTAGAACTATTGATATACAATGTACAGTTTCCTACACTACTGATGAAAACTTACAACTTACTGCTTTCATAAACTTAGAGCTTACTGCATTAATATTCTGTATTGCTAGCAGAAGCATGCAGTACAGCATTTATACTCAAGTCCTATAAAATTTATAAACTTCCCTACTTGAACTAAAATATACCAAATAATAAATGTAATATCAACATATACTTTATTAGGCATATTAATAGACAGAAGTTTCTAGAGGCAGCTATTTATATGTACTACTAGTATGGCTGACAGGTTGACCACTGACTGTCAGGTGATCAAGCAGACGGTTGAAGCTGTGCTAATAAATTCTTACCAGTTTTGATTCAACAAGCCAGCTGTATTGAGTAAAGAATTTTTAAATACAAATGTTTATCTCATGCACCATCAACATTTATTGATATCAAAAGACAAGTATAAAGAAGTGCTAACATAGCAGAGAGTTGTAACACGAGTCAACACACTGTATCAAATACGAGTCAGTAGCGGATTTTTGGTGAGAATTAATCACTAATAGAAATATCAAAGTAAGGGTTAAGCTTCATTCTAGTAAAGAGTGATTTTCAGTCTAACTTAATAATTTACTCAACATCAACTTGCTTTGGTGATGAATCTATATGGTGAGGAAAATCACAAATATACCGATTATTGAATAATAGTATCAAAATTTCCTAGTAGTCCTGCTCTAGTAGAAGATGACTAGTGTTTTAGTGCCTTTGAAAGAAAAACAGACCAGTTACTTCAATGCTCAAGAACTTCTTGTCAGTTATGTCCCACTCCAGAATCAGGATAAGACTACTTACAGTCACTAGTAAGCATTGATATTATATTATTTTTTTTCACTTTTATAGGTAACAAGTTAAAACTAACATTCAGTGTCAATTAGAGTCATATTTCATTAACTCAATATTCAAATCTCAAACTGGTATATAGGACAGGTTAATAATGAACTAAAAAAATAATATTCACTAATTTCTTGTGTATAGTATAATGCAAAGATATAATTTGAATAAATAAACTGTATTCAAATATTAATAGTGGAGAAAATGAAAAAAAGTGGTGAAAGAAAGGCTGAGGAACTGTCTGTTAGTATGAGTGAAGAACTGGCAACATGGGGAAGAGAGGTGTATATTTATTATATTATATACTCAGTGGCCACTTTATTAGGTATGTCTCTACACTTACTCGTAAATGGAAAAATATCAGCTAATCATGTGGCAGCACCTCAGTGCCTAAAAGCATGCATACATGATTAAGACTTTAACATTGGTATGACTATTGGTGCCAGACAGAATGGTTTGAGTATTTCAGAAACTGCCGATCTCCTAGGACTTCCATGCACAACAGTCTCTAGAATTTACAGAGAATGGTGTGAAAAATACAAAACATCCAGTGAACAGCAGTTCTGTTGGCAAAAAATCCTTGATAATGAGAGAGGTTAGAGGAGAATGGCCAGACTGGTTCAAGCTGACAGAAGGTAACAGTAACTTAAATAGCCATGCATTACAACAGTGTATGGAGAAGAGCATCTCTGAACATACAACATGTCGAACCTTCAAGTGGATGGGGCTACAGCAGAAGACCATATTGGGTTCCACTCCTGTCAGCTAAGAAAAGGAAACTGAGGCTACAGTGGGCACAGGCCCACCAAGACTGGAGAGCTAAAGATTTGAAAAACATCATGTCGTCTGAGGAATCACTGTTTCTGCTGCGACATGCAGATGTCTGGGTCAGAATTTGGCATAAATCTTTGGGTGGTGGTGGAATATGAAATTTGCAGCATGAATGCACAGACAACAAATCTGCAGCAACTGTGTGATGCTACCATGTCAACACAGACCAGAATCTCTTAAGAATGCTTCCAGCACCTTGTTGAATCCATGCCACAAAGAATTTAGGCTGTTTTGGGAACCAAGGGGAGGCCAGTATTAAAGGGATGTACCTAATAAAGAAGCCACTATTAGAAGGGGGTCTGCAGAGTCAACACTGACCACAGCTCTCTCAGTTATTACAAATATTCCCTTGTAAACCCAAGGTGTGCGTGTCTAGCTAAGAGATAATTCCTCCTGTATACAAGGCTGCTTGACACCAATCACCGATCACACCACTCTAATACTAAGAAAAAATAAAATTATGTAGAATTACACTTGTCATCATTTAGTTCCACTAAAAACATTATTTGAAAAATTGTAATACAATTTAATTATATGATTAAATACCTTTATAGATGTTAACTCGGTCATCTGAAAATGTATACTTGAAGGAAACAGCTGCGTGATGAGACTCCAACACACTCAGGTCATTGTAAAGTATAGCTAATTCATTTTCTGTATTACACAGAAATGCACTGAAAAACAAAAACAAAAAAATATTAATTAATAATTACCAAAATAGCTATTAGTAATGTTTTTTGCAGGTTCTTAAAAAAGCACTATTATGGCAGAAGACAAGGAAATACCATGTTTCTCTTCTCTTTCTTTGGGAGGATGGCCTTGTCAAGTCAAAATGTGCTTGAACTAGAAGTCTACTGGACAGTCTTGAACTTAATTCAAAACATAAATAACTATAAAGAGACTGAGTGCTGTTGAACATCAAATAATAACAAAACAAGTGTCACCACTGATATTAACTTTGCTTCTACCTAGACTGTGCATATATTTGAGCAGCTGAGATCTTTTACTCTATTGCTTCTCTATAAAAACTGTTAAGTTATTTGTGGAAGACTTACCCAGTGGCCACAGATGTGATATTGAACTTATCACTGTGCAATAATAATGCTATTTCAATATATTGCTTCTTTATACTCATTATTTATGTATTATTTTACATCTCTAAGACTATGAATTTTTTACTCATAATAAAATATACAACCTCTTCAAAACAAAGAAAAACTATCGTTAAATATAATTTTTTTAAAACGCTGGCTGTCTCCCACCAAGAAACACTTTCACCATCATTCACACTATCACTGTCTTGCCAGAGGAACGCATATATGACAGTTCAAATGTCCCACCAAGCAATTATCCCAGACCCCTTCTTTCGAGTGCAGGCACTCAAGTCTGGCTGACCGAGTTCCCACTCCAACAGCTTATCAGGTCCTGAAAACTATTTGTCTCCACTCACTAATATCTAACATACACATGCCTACTCTATGTCCAACACACCATGCATACAAATCCACCTTTACTCCCTCCCTCCATCCTGTCCTAAGATGACCCCTACTCCACCTTCCCTACACTACAGATTTATACACCTTCCAAGTCATCCTATTTTGCTCCATCCTCTCTAAATGACCAAACTACCTCAAGAACCCCTTCTCAGCTCTCTGGATAATGCTTTTAGTAACTCCACACCTCCCAATTTTCAAACTACAAATTCTCTGCATAATATTTACACTACATGTTGCCCTCAGACACGACATCTCCACTGCTTCCAACCTCCTCCTCACTGCAACATTCACAACCCATCCTTCACACCCACTTGTACATTTCCCTCTTTGCCTCCATGTTCTTTGTCTCCACAGATACCTCAATATACCCATCCACTGATACATCCATGCCCAAATATCTGAACGCATTCACTTCCTCCATACTGTTTAACTCCAATCTGATATCTAATTTTTCCTTACCTAACTCATTTGTTACCCCCATCACCTTACTCTATGTTCACTTTCGACTTCCTTTACACACCCTCCCAAACTTGTCCACTACTCTTTGCAACCTCTCTTCAGAATCTCCCAAAAGCAGAGTATCATCAGCAAAAGAAACTGTGCTAACTCCCATTTTGTATTTGATTCTGCAAATTTTAATCCTACCCCTCTCCCAAACATCCTAGCATTTATACTTATTCCTAGTAATGACCCTCGTATTGTAGATAGTCTTAATGACCCTCGTGTAGTATATAGTCTTTTTAGTATGATAATAAGATGTTATCTTCATTGTAGAATAATAAGAAAATATTATAACCTTTATATTATAATAATAAGGTAAAAGGACTCCAATGGAAATAAGTCACTCTGACTGACTTTTTTGGGTTATCCTAGGTTCTCTACACATATGCTGCTATGTATGATAATTCTATGTAACTGTATTTGTGTATACCTGAATAAACTTACTTACTTACTTATACTTCTTTTACAACCCCATCTATAAATATGAAGTATACCCGATATCACACTCGTGTAATAAAGAGCAGTCTATCAAATAGCAAGATATATAGGCGAGTACAAATAGGAAGCATGTCTGTCTTGTGCTGAATAAACCACACGGGTTTTGTGCTTAACATGAATTAAACAAACACATCAAATGGCAAAATATCAAAAGTCTTAATTACATAGTAACATTTAGTGCAGAAGCAATACTCTACCTTAGTCACCAAAAATATCCTATAATTGTACCTGTTTTTGCCTGGATGATCAACATCATGCACAACTGCAGCAATGAGGCATGCAGCAATGTCCAATGGGTCCATGAGCTGTTTTAATCGTTCCTGATTAAGAAAGTATGATGTTGCTTGGAGGACATCGGAAGCATGTGTAGAGTTGTGGTAGGTGTTGTCAACGTGATAGTTTGCTTCAATGAGTGTCAGCCAATTTTCCAAAGTTTGTTCATCACAGCCCAAAGTGTCTGGTACATCAAATTTGCATAACAGACTCATACCGATCCATACCAGCGGTCTGTTCATAAAGAATGAAATATAGCACTTATTAAAAGTTATTGTTATGAAAGTGGTATGTAGATACCAGCAGCAGAGCTCTGACTGATATACATGCTTTAGTAATTTAATGCATGAAATGACAATTTATTATGTAACACTTAAAATATTTTATGATAATTTGAGTTATTGTGAATTATTAAGGTAAATTTAGCTTGCATTTTCATGAGACTTGACCAATCTCAAGTTAATGAGCTTAGATACCCACCATAAATGTTAATGTGTTTTGTAAATAATTTGTAATAATGTTTAAAATACATTTTTGTGAATATACACATATTATGTATGGTAGAGTTATTATTGAAAGAATTAAGAGTAAGACAGAAAGCAGGATAGCAGATGAACAAGGAGGCTTCAGGAAGGGTAGGGGATGTGTAGACCAAGTGTTTACAGTCAACCATATAGATGAACGGTATTTAGATAAGGGTAAAGAGGTTTTTGTGGCATTTATGGATATGGAAAGGGCATATGACAGGGTGGATAGGGGGCAATGTGGCAGATGTTGCAAATGTATGGAATAGGAGGTAGGTTACTGAAAGCAGTGAAAAGCTTTTAAGAGGATAGAGAGGCTCAGGCTAGAGTACATAGGAGAGAGAGGGAGACCATTTCCAGTAAAAGTTAGCCTTAGACAGGAATGTGTGATGTTACCATGGCTGTTCAATATATTTATAGATAGGGTTGTAAAAGAAGTGAATGCTTGGGTGTTGGCAGCCTCTCACTGGTGCTGACTGACCTCACGAAGTGTCAATGTAGTAACACCAGGACAGTTCTGGAGTTAAAAGATAAAGAATCAAACACAAAGTGGGAGTTGTCACAGTTGCTCTTTGCTGATGACACTGTGCTTTTGAGAGATTCTGAAGAGAAGTTGCAAAAGTTAGTGGATGAGTTTGGTAGGGTATGTAAAAGAAGAAAATTAAAAATGAATATAGGAAAGAGCAAGGTGATGAGAATAACAAAAAAAAAAAAAATAGGTAGCAAAAGGTTGGATATCAGACTGGAGGGAGAGAGTATGGAGGAGGTGAAAGTATTCAGGTATCTGGGAGTGGACGTGTTTACAGATGGGTCTATGAAAGACCAGGTGAATTATAGAATTAACGAGGAGAAAAAGGTGAGTGCTGCACTGAGGAATCTGTGGAGACAAAGAACTTTATCCATAGAAGCAAAGATGGGAATGTATCAGAGTAGTTATAACAACGCTCTTATATGAGTGTGAAGCACGGGTGGTGAATGTTACAACAAAGAGAAGGCTGGAGGGAGTGAAGATGTCATATCTGAGGGCAATGTGTGATGTGAATATAATGCAGAGAATCCGTAGTTTGGAGAATAGAAGGAGGTGCGGGATTACCAAAACTATTATCCAGAGGGCTGAGGAGGGGCTACTGAGGTGGTTCAGACATGTAGAGAGAATGGAACGAAACAGAATGACTTCGTGTGTGTATAAATCTGTACTGGGGGGAAGGTGGGATAGGGGTCAGCCTAGAAAACATTGGAGGGAGGGGATAAAGAATGATTTGTGTATGAGGGGCTTGGACTTACAGCAAGCATGCATGAGTGTGTTAGATAGGAGCAAATTAAAACAAATGGTTTTTAGGACTTGATGTGCTGTTGGAGTGTGAGCAAGGTAACACTTATGAAGGAATTCAGGGAAACTGGCAGGCTGGACTCGAGTCCTGGAGATGGGAAGTACAGTGTCTGCACTCTGAAGGAGGAGTGTTAATGATGCAGTTTTATAAGCTGAAGTGTAGGCATGTCTCTGGCAAGACAGTGATGGAGTGAATGATGAAAGTTTTTCTTTTTCAGACCACCCTGCCTTGGTGGGAAACGGCCGATCTGCTAATAAAATAACATTATAAAAACAAATAATAATCATTTAAAAGAGAAAACAAGGGAGTAATAGCAAATTAGTTTATTTTAACAATGTAATATTCTTTTGTTTTCTGTCTGTGGGAGTGTAGGTTTTACATCCTTTATCTCTATATCTATTTCTCTCTCTCTCACTGGTGAAGATGGCTCACCACCAGTGTTTCTTCTGGAAGATATTTAGGATTCCCAGAATGGTAAATTATTTAGCTATGTTTTAATGCCACTAAAATTACTCCCCAGAGTTGCTACAGCATATGAACACACTGAATGGGGCAGCTGAGAAGGATTTGTTTAAAGTATGTGTTCCTATGATGAAGATCATGGGCAATAATATGGCTTGATAATTTGAAACATATTTACTGAACATATTTTTATAGAATATTAAATTTATTTTGGCACATGAATTCTGCTTTAACATTTTTGCAAGATTAATCCTTTCAGTGGCTGTCACACAGAAGTACGTCATTGAGGCCCAAGTCCCTTGTGTACCTCTATGTCATGAGCTCAGCATAGATAAACTGAGTGGTAAATTTTGGCTTAGATATAAGAGAATGGGTCTGCATGGCGAGTGTGCACAGTATGATAAAAATCTTGCGCCCTACAATGCATGATGGGAAAAACAAAAATGTTGACCACATGTTTGGTTTCAAACAATGACCAAGTTGCTTTTAGGATGTTTTTTATGGTTTTATTAACTGTTTTTTTATATTTAATTGAATGGAAGATATATTCCTGAAATAGAAATGATTTTGGTTTCATGACCGAAAGTAGCTGGAAATTAGGCTCAAAGCAAAATTATTTGATTTTTGCTGATTTTCTTGAAGATGGGTTAAGGCCATCCCTACAACCCCCCCCCCCCCATTCGATTTTATGGGTGTTTGATGGGTCTGATTGAATTACTGGATGCCATAAATCATGACCAATAATTCCTGGTTATATTTTATTTTCTGGGACAGAGAAAATCTATATTTGTGTGATTATGAATTCAAATGTTGTTTTAGTACCAAGAATGTCTACAGTGTTTATTTTGTATTGTTTTTAAATTAGTATTGTTAATTTTGTGAAAAATTGGCCAAATTACCATATCCTGTGCACTTTATAGGGTAGAATGCACAGAACAGAAGGCATTCAAGCAAAATAGCTAAGAATTTGGTCAACTAGAGCAACCACCCAGGGAGGTACTACTGTCCTGCCAAGTGAGTGTGAAACGAAAACCTGTAATTGTTTTACATGATGGTAGGATTGCTGGTGTCTTTTGTCTGTCTCATAAATATGCAAGATTACAGGTACGTCTTGCTACTTCTACTTACACTTAGGTCACACTACACATACATGTACATGTTTATTTATACATACTCATCTGAGTTTTCTTTGATTTTATCTTAGTTCTTGTTCTTATTACTTTTCCTTTAATATCCATAGGGAAGTGGAATAAGAATCTTTCCTCCAGAAGCCATGCGTGTTGTAAAAGTCAACTAAAATGCCGTGAACAATGGGCTAGTAACCTCTTTTCCTGTAATAATCACTAAAAAATAATAAGAAAACTGTCAAAGTGGGAAGTCTGAATATGCATGGATGTTGTGCAAATGATAAGAAAGAGATGATTGTGGATGTTATGAATGAGAAGAAGCTGGATGTTCTGGCTTTAAGTGAAACAAAGCTGAAGGGGGTGGGAGAGTTTCAGTGGAGAGGAATAAATGGGATTAGGTCAGGGGTTTCAAACAGAGTTAGAGCTAAAGAAGGAGTAGCAATAATGTTGAAGGATAAGTTATGGCAGGAAAAGAAGGACTATAAATGTATTAATTCAAGGATTATGTGGAATAAAATAAAGGTTGGATGTGAAAAGTGGGTTGTAGTAAGCATATATGCACCTGGAGAAGAGAAGTGTAGAAGAGAAAGAGAGCGAGATTTTGGGAAATGTTGAGTGAATGCATGGGGAGTTTTGAACCAAGTATGAGAATAATGGTGGTTGGGGATTTCAATGCTAAAGTGGGTAAAAATGTTGTGGAGGGAGTAGTAGGTAAATTTGGGATGCCAGGGGTAAATGAAAATGGGGAGCCTTTACTTGAGCTATGTGTAGAAAGAGGTTTGATAATAAGAGTGAGTGGTGCACTTAGGAGTCTGTGAAGACAAAGAACTTTGTCCTTGGAGGCAAAGAGGGGAATGTATGAGAGTATAGTTTTACCAACACTCTTATATGGGTGTGAAGCGTGGGTGATGAATGTTGCAGCGAGGAGAAGGCTGGAGGCAGTGGAGATGTCATGTCTGAGGGCAATGTGTGGTGTGAATATAATGCAGAGAATTCGTAGTTTGGAAGTTAGGAGGAGGTGCAGGATTACCAAAACTGTTGTCCAGAGGGCTGAGGAAGGGTTGTTGAGGTGGTTCGGACATGTAGAGAGAATGGAGCGAAACAGAATGACTTCAAGAGTGCATCAGTCTGTAGTGGAAGGAAGGCGGGGTAGGGGTCAGCCTAGGAAAGGTTGGAGGGAGGGGGTAAAGGAGGTTTTGTGTGCGAGGGGCTTGGACTTCCAGCAGGCATGCGTGAGCGTGTTTGATAGGAGTGAATGGAGACAAATGGTTTTTAATACTTGACGTGCTGTTGGAGTGTGAGCAAAGTAACATTTATGAAGGGATTCAGGGAAACCGGCAGGCCGGACTTGAGTCCTGGAGATGGGAAGTACAGTGCCTGCACTCTGAAGGAGGGGTGTTAATGTTGCAGTTTAAAAACTGTAGTGTAAAGCACCCTTCTGGCAAGACAGTGATGGAGTGAATGATGGTGAAAGTTTTTCTTTTTCGGGCCACCCTACCTTGGTGGGAATCGGCCAGTGTGATAAAAAAAAAATTTTACTAACAAGAGGATAAATAAATATACAAGGTATGATATAGCACGTAATGAAAGTAGTTTGTTAGATTATGTATTGGTGGATAAAAGGTTGATGGTTGAAGACTGCCCCTCAAACTGGACTGGAAAACAAACATGGATACCCAAGTGAACAATTATTTTGCTTACCAAGATGACAAGGCAGGGCAAGATAAGCTAGCCAATGCAGTAATAATTAACAGTCCACTCTATCCTAGTGAATTAAACCATACCAACTG